AGCAGAGGTTGTAGTGAGCCGAGATTGAGCCACTGCACTCCAGCCTGGGCTGCAGACTTGAGACTCTGTCTCAAAAACAAAACAAAACAAACAAAAACACCTGGGGGTGCTCCCATCTTGACTCAAACAATCAACACCATAGATACAATCTCAACCTCAAGAAAAGACAGGAAGTTCACAGAGAACATTGGCACGATAGGGGATCACGGGTAGTTTTCATTTTCTGCTCTATTCTTCCTGGTAGGAAGGATGTCGGAAAGGACACAAGGGCCGACAGGTTGTAGGATGGAGTGAAGGCTCCCTTTTGCTTCACCTGGGCCCTGGGTTTGAGACAGCCATTTATGCAACACATCTGAGGCTGCTCCAGGCCTCCCTGGCCACCCTGGAGCTGGCCCGTGGCAGCCTCAGACTCTTCCTTACTCTCCCAGGGAGGGGCCATTTCGAAGATGGCTGCAGCCTCCCAGCTCAGCCTGCAGTCAGCAGCTCGATGGGCACCGCTTCTCTTAGGGGAGAGTCACTTCCCTTTCCAAGTCCAGGAAGGAGTTTGGGCTTTACAAGAAACCTGCTGTCTTGGTGTGGGATAGTCAGGCCTGCGGGGCTGAGCCGTCCTGCCTTCCTCTGGCCTCATGCAGGGCTCAGAGCACTTCCCAACCCTCCCCCAACCAGGACAAGCAGTGCAGGCTCCAGTCCAGAAGGTTCTCAGGGTTTGAGAGGCACAGCAGCTGTTGAGCAATTCCAGACCCCACTCAGGTCCCTGAAGGCACGAAGCCCACAGACCAAAGAGCAGAGCTGTGGGAGATGGAACTCCAAAATTTGCCCCTCCTTCCCTGCCCCTCCCCGCACTGCCTAGAATCCTCTAAAGCACCTCCAGCTCCCTGCTCTATCCACCCTCCTTCCCTGCAGCTTCCTCGAGCTGGAAGGTATATGTGATCTCTACTTTCCAGCAGTTTCCTGGTAGTCCTTGCCCAAGGCCACATGGTTGGCCAGATTGAACTTGAACCCCGATCCCAGCTGGGATGGAGTCTGCTTTCATCCTAGGGGTGCCTCGCTGATTTACCCGAAGAGACAGATGCCACCTGAGATCAAATATTATCTACAACCGTGTGAAGGACAAGAGGCCCAGCTCTCTGAGAGGCCACATTGCCCTGCCTCCCTGTCCCTCTGGGCAGAGTCCTGGGCCCGTCCTTCTCCAGGGGACTCCAGCCAGGCTTAGAAACACCTTCTAGGCTGGAAGGAAGAAAGCTCAGCTGGGGAGGCCTGGAGGCCTGGCTGTGAGCTCCAACTTCCGCACTTCTCAGCAACACTCATATTTAGAACGAGGGGGCTAGATGAAGCTACAGTTTGCATCCTGCCCTCCCATCTCGGATATTTTTTAAGTCTGTGAAAGATGGAGTGAGAGAAGAGAGTCCCCCAGGTGAGGTGGCTCCTTTCCCTGATTGATACGAGACTGGCTTGGGCGTGACATGGGGGCCACACCATGAAGTGGGTCTGCAAAACTGAAGTAACAGAGAACTTGTCAACTGAAGAGGTGTTGACAAGAGAACCGAAGTCCCAAGGAAAAGGGCTGAAGTTACTAAACTCAGAATCTATGAAAGCCTTTTGGGGCTTCACCTGGAACGTGTCAGGCCAGATTCTTATTTTTGGGAGCCTCACGTTCTGGTGGCACTGAACAGACTCAGGTGTCAGGAATGAGTTATTTAGAAACTGTGGCTAAGCTCAGAAGAGACTGTGAGGTTTTGCCTCAACATGAAAAGAGGAACTTGAGTTAAAATAGGCAGTGATCAATAACTGCTGAAGCTTCCCAAAGGGCTGAGTCTGCCTAATTGGGCGTGAGCATGCACTTGGTCCTCAGGAGACATCTGCTGTCATTTATTCTCGGAGGTAGATTGTCATAGGTGAGTCCACCTATGAGAATCCTATGAGAATTCCCCTTTAATTCACCTTAAAGGGGAAACCTCTTCAGACCACCTACGCCCACAGCTCCCTCTACTATGTCAGCTACTCAGGAGGTCACAGGCCCAGGGCCAGGGTCAGGAGCAGATATGTCCAGCAGAGCCACCTTCTTCTGTGAAAGCTGCCTGCCCGCTGCCCTCGTTGAGCAGAGGCCTTAAGGAGCCATGCTGCCCCCATGACTCTGTCCTCATCTCTGAGTGGTAGACGGGGGCACCTGCTCTGAGATGGCCGATCCATACACAGACGAGCAGCCCCTGAGTGGCCCATGCAGAGAAAGCCATGGGGGCTGAGCCATCAGACTCCCTCTTAGGACTGGGGACTGAGAAGAAAGGCTGCTAGAGGGGAAGAGCAGCCCCCCAGAGAAGAGCTGAGCCATGGGAGAAGCCGCGTGCACCCCATGCTCTTCTGGTCCCAAGGCCCTCGGACGGCCTTCTCCTTCCTGGCTCTGCACATCTTCACAAAGGCCGCCCGCCCCTTCCCCCTTGCAGAGTCAGCCAAGGTGAGTTTCTGTTCCCGGTACCCTCGAAGCCCGATGAGGCCCCCGATCTCATCAGCAGCTCCCAGGGTCACAGGACGTCACAGCAGCAAGAGTGTGGCGATGAGAGAGGAGCAAAGCGGAGACGCAGTCCACGTTTACAGGCCGCGGGTGCCGACGCCACTAAAAGCCACAGAGTCATGTCTTTTCCAGTCATACTTAAAGTTGTCTTCACTTTGAAGGAATAGAAGAAACCACAAAGGGAAAAAAGATCAAAAGCATCGACCAACTTTTAACTTAAGAGAGTTTGCCGACTCCTCTCGGCAAGCCACGTATCACAGATGCCAACTCTGCCAGGAAAGCTCATGCCCTCCTAGACTTGGAAAAAATGGTAGAGGGCATTGGTGCCAAGCGCCTGCCCCAGACAGGCTCCCCTCAGCTGGTCACATCCCACACATGGTGAAGAGCCCATGTCAGAGAGACACTCCCATGGCAAATAGCTGCTAAGCACTTGAAGTGACGGTCTTGTACTAGGTGTGCCAACATCTGCTTCTGGCGACTGCTAAGAACCAGGCCAAAGCTGCGGGCACCCCAGCCCGGTGGAAAGCCTTCCAGCAGATGCGCCTTAGAGGCTGCTGTGGATGCAGGGGCAGGAGGACGAGGGAGCAAGGCCAGCCTAACTACGAAAGGAGTGGTTCCACTTGAGCCCAAATCTGCAACTCCCAAGGAGGCCTTGCAGCAAACAGACCTGTACCAGGCTGGATTAAACATACCCCTCGGGTCTCTCTCTCAACCACATCAATCCTCGAGGCACTTCCTTTGATCCCCATAAGCCATGGGGGTGTTGTGCTCACCACGCTCTCCCTCTTGACACACTTCTGGGAGGGGGGTTGCCCCCAGGGACTTGCCTGTGATCTCCCCCACCTTGAGCCCAGCTCCCTGTCTACTACTGCATCCTAGTTCTGCACAAAATGAATCATTCCCTTCACGCTTTGAAGCCAACCAGTGTACCCAGCTTCTCCTCTCCCAATTACACTTTCTTTTCAACCAAACTCCTCCAGTGCCGACATCGCTCTTCTGTGACATGAAGTCTAAGCCTTCGTCGGCCCTGGATGTTCTGCTGGGGACATGGCTGCACTGCTGTGCCTCTTACCCCAGTCCCTGAGAACTGAGCATCACACACACACACACACACACCCCCACTGGGGATGTGGAAACTTAGTCTCCTTCTTTCTTGCTAGCCCCATGTGCTCTTCATGCAGCCGGATAAGAATAGCTTCCCTGCCTTCCACAACATGCAGCTATCACATTTTGTGGCAAAACAAAGCCTTTAGCAAACTGTGCTGAGGGTGGCCTTCCCGGGCTCGATGGGTACAGCTGATTTTTCTTTTTAAATTTAACTATGACTGAGCATGGTGGCTCATGCCTATAATCCCAGCACTTTGGGAGGGCTAGTCACTTGAGGTCAGGAGTTCGAGACCAGCCTGGACAACATGGTAAAACCCCATCTGTACCAAAAATACAAAAATTAGCTGGGCGTGGTGGCAGGCACCTGTAATCCCAGCTACTCAGGAGGCTGAAGAAGGAGAATTGCTTGAACCTGGGAGGTGGAGGTTGCAGTGAGCTGAGATGTTGCCACTGCACCCCAGCCTGGGCGACAAAAGAGAAACTCCATCTCAAAAAAAAAAAAAA